ATAAAATAAATACTAAAGAAATATAAAAATAAATTACCACCACTCCTCGATAACGGTGCCAAGATTTGGTGTGTACTATCACAGGTACCCAAAAGTAGTATCTCAACCTCTAAAACTAATGTAGTAGTGGAAATAAGGGTCAATCCCACGAAGAGTTATCTTATACTTCGTACAATGATTTGCGGGTTTTTGTATGCAAACAATTATAAGTAACGCAATCAATAATGATGAAAATTAAATTAACGAAAACAATCAAAAGACTAACCTTGGTCTAAGTCCACATCCACCGTCGGAAATCCATAAGTGATCATAGATGCAATGATAATTCAATTCATATTTTGAATATTCATCGTTGGAATAATTTTCCTATTTCTCCTTAATTTTAATTAGATAGAAACCAACTTTCTAATTAACCCTAATTAATAAATAACCCAAAATCAGAGCTCAAGATTCAATTTAAGATTCAATAACCTCTATCGCAGAAAATTGTCAAATCCTAGTTCTTCATAAGTTAAAGTGATCAAACAATTACGGATTTGGTATTTAACTTAGCGGTAGATTGTAACTAATAATAAGCTAGTAGGCCTCCTAGCAATTAAACACAACAATTATGAAAATAAGTGTAGAAGAATATTCAATACGCAAAATAAGAATTAAACAATAAGAAAAACTATTTAAATCTCACAATATGTGGTTCCGAGGTTTCAATTTCCTTCGACCAAGTGTAGAAGTTTAGTTACAATTCGTAAATCTAAGAGAGAAATAATGAAAAATAGAGTTTGGTGGCGTTTTGTACGTTCTCATCCCATTCTAGGGTTTTAAAATATGTATTTATAGTTGTTTCCATAGGTAGTTGACTTAAATTCGGAAACTGGAGATTCAACTGTGAAAAATGCCTGTGCGCGCGCGCTGTATATTTCCTTGCCCGACGCCGTTCATTGGTTTTAGGCTCGATAAGTAAAATTCATGCATGTACGTGCGCGAGAGAATTTGTCTGCGCGTGTGTGCAGTCTTGTCTCTTAACAGTGTTCAGTATTGTGGTCATAACATTCTCCACATATATCTGATTAATCTGATTCAAAATGAGTTGAAAATCTAACTCAAAGGGTTACAACTTTTCTTCAGATACCATATTCAAATTTGATCGTTTGACATGTCAAAAATGGGTCTCAAACTGTGACTAAAAATTCGATGCATAACTTTTCGATTAGAAATTGATGTGTGCTCATACTTAGATGATATTTCATCCTTTTGATGCCTTCTTTCAANATCTAAAAGAGAAATAATAAAGAATGGAGTTTGAAGACGTTCTCCCTCAGTTTTGGACGACTTGAGGGTTAAATAGGTTGTCCCAATACCCTAGTATAAAAGATTGGTTCGAATAAGGAAACTAGAAAATTCGCACCAAGAATGAACCATGCGACTGCATGATATAAACCCATACGACAGCATAATTATAAAAATTTTGTACTGTTCATCTCCTGTTGGTGCTTATGCGACTGCATGAACTTTCTATCATGCGACTGGATGGTATAAATTATTTTCCAATTGGTTTCCAAACTTTATTTCATTTACCCTTTGGCCTTACTTCTTTCTCCTTCTCTTTCTAACATTCCATGATATCATAATGTGTTACTTAGCTCAATTTCATGCTTGATTCACCATTCTAGTCATCTTCTGAATAATTGCATTTTGATCCCGAAGTTTCATTTTCTTTCCTTTTGACCATTGGTCGCTTATTTCTTTCAAATTACGCCATATCCATAGGGTTGCTACTTAAATCAAAATATAAATGTAATGAGTACATTTTGACACTAATTAANCACTAATTAATCATACGAGCACATAGAATAAGGAGAGAACAATAGGCGTTTTACATTCCTATCAAGTGGTGAGATCAATAGAGGGAAAAATCAAATTAAGTGATACACGAGCACATATTTGTGACGTAGAAATAAATTTTTGATTTAGGATGTCTGACGGGGAGGGATCAACACCAAGTCGAGACAACAACCAAACCAACATGTCGGACAAGATGATATGTAGGTTTGAACAGTTATTTGAAGATGTGCGGGATAGATTGGATAGACAAGACACGGAGCTTGCCAACTTGCATAGGGGACTTCCAAATATAACGAGACGGGGTAGGCGGGAGCCTAGGATGGAGGTGCGTGAAGAATATGATTATGGGAGTGACGCGGATGAGGAGGCTGTAATTGAGGCTGAAATGGGTAGGATGAGAAGTAGAGGAGCTAGGCTTGAACGAATGGATAGAAACTTGGTTGGAGATGAGGTAAATGGGAATATAGGCAACATAAAAATGTCCAATCCACTATTCAAAGGAAGGAGTGATCCTGAGACTTAGAGTGGAAAAAATGTTGAATTAATATTTGACTGCTACAACTATTCAGAGGAGAAGAAGGTGAAGATAGCAGTCCTTGAATTCACCGACTATGCAATCATTTGGTGGGATCAATTGGTGATAATGAGGAGGAGAAATAGGGAACAACCGATCAATACATGGGAGGACTTGAAAGCTATCATGGGAAAGAGGTTTTTATCTAATCACTAATGCGGAGAGCTTCATCAAAAACTACAAAACCTCTACCAAGGATCAAAGAGTGTGGCGGACTATCATAAGGAGATGAAGTTGTTGATATTAGGGCTGATGTGGAGGAGGATCAGGAGGCCACCGTGGCCAGGTTTTTGAATGGGTTGAATCGGAACATAGTTAATGTAGTGGAACTTCAACACTGTATGGAATTAGAATACATTCTACACATGATGAAGGTAGAGAGACAATTAAAGAGAAAGGGGACAGTAAGGTACTCATCGACTACTTTGGGTTCTTACTCATCCTTGAAACCGAAGTCAGACAACAACAAAGAACATGAGGCTGTTTCTAGGGGTGAAAAACTGAATTGTCGAAAGAAAGAGAAGAAAATACTAGCAAGAAATGGAATCACAACCATCAAAGAGTTGAGACATAAAATGCTTTATGTGTTTGAGGTAGGGGTATATGGCTTCCCAATGTCCAAACAAAAGAGCGATGATTTTGCAGAATAATGGAGAGGTGGTGAGTGAAAGTGAGAGTGATTATGAAGGCATGTCGGAATTGGAGGAGGATAGTGATGGAGAGGGAGCGATATATGCTATTGGAAAAATATTGGTCACGAGATGAGCTCTTAACACTCAAATCAAGGCAGATGACTTGAAGCGGCAAAGATAAAATATTTTTCATACACGATCCAATATCAATAATAAGGTACGTAGCATGATCATTGACAGTGGGAGTTGTACAAATGTAGCTAGCACTAATCTAGTGAAAAAATTGGGATTAACAATGCTTAAACACCCTAGGCTCTATAAGTTACATTGGTTGAATGAATGTGGGGAAGTTAAAGTGAATAGAATGGTGTTGATAAATATTTCAATTGGTAGTTATCAAGAAGAAGTATTGTATGACCTATTACCTATGCATGTGGGTCATCTCTTGTTAGGGAGACCATAGCAATACGATATGAAGGTGATACATGATCGGTATAAAAATAGGTACATATTTGTCAAGGGTGGAAAGGCTATTACATTTGCACGATTAACACTAACACAAGTGTATGAAGACCAAATCAAAGTGAAAAATAAGGAAGAAAAAAGACGGAAAGAGTTAGAGAAAAAGAAAGAAAACAATGAGTTGGCAAGTAAGAGAGAAAATAGTGAGGTGGATAAAAGAGAGAAAAGAAGAAAAGAGCAACATGAGAGAAAAGAAGAGGGGTCTTCCGAGAAGAAAGAATAGCTCAGAGCAAATTTCTTTACAAAATGGAGTGAGATGAAAAGAGCAACAGTGGATAGAAAACAAATGATTTTGTTGGTATACAAAGAGTCTCTCCTCAATTTTGAGGAATCTAACTCACCCTCACTTGTTTGGCTATTTCTTTATTGTAGGAATTTAGAGATGTATTCCCGAAGGACGTGCCTAGTGGATTGCCTCACATTCGAGGCATTGAACACTAAATTTACTTCGTACCCAATGCAGTCATTCCAAACCAACCAACTTACCGAAGTAATCCTAAGGAGACAAAGGAACTTCAAAAACAAGTGGAGGAATTGATAAGAAAGGGGTATGTGAGAGAGAACATGAGTCCATGTGCCATGCCATCCTATTTGTATCAAAGATGGATGAAACTTAGAGAATGTGTAGATTGTAGGGCCATCAATAACATAACGGTAAAGTATCGTCATCATATTTCTAGGTTAGATGATATGTTGGACGAATTATTTGGTGCATGCATATTTAGCTAAATTGATCTTAAGAGTGGTTACCTTCAAATTCAAATGAGAAAGGTGATGAATGGAAAATCGCATTTAAAACTAAATATGGGTTGTATGAATGGTTGGTCATGCCGTCTGGTTTCACTAATGCATCGAGCACTTTTATGCATTTAATGATCCCTATTTTATGTGTATTTATAGGCAAGTTTGTTGTGGTTTACTTTGATGACATTTTAATCTACAATACGGACCTTAATGAACATATTGAACATTTGCGGTGT